GACTTTAAACAAAAGTAAAAGTAATGCTACTCAATCATCACTTGAGTGGGCCTCCATACATCTGTAGTGGTGACTGTGTCTCCAGACAGCCTGTCCTTTGCCTGCATTTTAATGTTTTGGTTTTCTGGGTGTGGAGTGGATGTGCTTCCCCTGCCAATGTCAGTGTGCAGGTGTGTTTAGGAGTGGATACAGTTCAGTTATTGGTTGTGATTCAGCCCCCCGCTAATAAGATTGATGTGGAAGTAGCAGCAATAACTTAAATATAATCATAGTGAGGTGAGACGAAACGCTACACGGATAAACCTTGTTCAAAAACGAGGGTTGTCTCTCACTCTCTTACAGAATTGGCCTGCATTCTGTTGGACATGCAGATGTCATACATCGGTGGTTAGCTTGTGCTAGCATGCGTATTGCAATGTACAAACAGGAAACTTACACACTACTCACCTGCAGTGAGTGTGTGCTTCTGGGACGGTGAGCGCAGGAGGAGGGGCCCAATTTGGATGTTGTGTTCACAAGCTGCAACAAACAATGCCACTGACTCTACCTTTACATAAGACATCAGTAGAACACTTTAATAAACCTTTTTGTTGGGTTGAATTACTGAACTAAAGAGGTTGTTGTTGTTGGATCCTTTTGGAGATATTTTCATGCAAATGTTTATCATTTGTTGTGACTGTATGTAAAAATGTTTCCTGTGGGCCAGAGAATGGTGTGAGGATTGTTGAATGCTTTACTCCACAGACAAGTGGAGTGTCTATAATTGTAAGAAAACAAATTCTATGTAGGTTCCGTAGCCTAGTGGGTATGATGTGCACCCAATTTACATCGGGTAAAGTCCCCTTTGCGGCGGTATGGGGTTCAAATCTGACCTTTGCCCTTTGCTTAATGTCATCCCCAACTCTCTTCTCCCAACATTTCCTGTTGTTGTCAGCTGTCCTATCCAATTAAGATGAGACAGGTCCAAAAATATACATGTTGATGTAAACAAGTTCTACTGGCCAGCTAGTTGAGAGTTGACCATTTGCATCAATGTCTCTTAAGCTTCTAATTTAAAATACATGAACAACTTCAGTCAGCTGACACCAAAAATACAACTTTGTTTTCTAATTATTCAATTAATAATTAGTAGGCATGACTTGTATGCTATAACTTTAAACTCTTGTTCTTTGTTTTATCAGGTGACGCTTGTCCACTCAAGCGAGGCTATCACAGTCCTCCGTAGACTAAACAGAGAACATCCTGATAGGACTATCTTAAAGAGCCTCTTCCGCTCAGGTTCAGTCTCTGAAACTACCATCTGTAATATTTGTCTACGTCAAACCAACCAGCCACAGTGCAACTACACTGACCTCCGTACTGGTGACCCGTGGTTCTGCTACAAGCCAAAGGAACTGAGCTGTGATACCAGGATGAACCACATAAACGGAGGAATGCGTATAAAACTCAAAGCTAATGAGGCGAACCTTTTCAAAAGGTGAGGGAGCACAGCAATAGAAACGATGCATCTAGTTTTACATGTAATGACTATAATCAAAGTGTAAAGTATGTATCTCCTGGGGGGAAATGTCGTGTTTGTAACTACAGGAGGCAAAGATGAAATCTTAAGATGTTTATAGTGTAAGATGATACCTATCAAAACACAATTAAAGTCTCTCTCATCAACAAAACTATAAAGTGTATCCATGGAGTCCAAATATGTAGGCAAAGTAATTTATGGTGACTAAATCACATTTGACATTTACATATTGAAGTGTCTTTAAGAGATTCTTAATCATGGGAGCTTTTTCCCCCCAGCAATGTCAACATGCAAGTCTTCATTCAGGCTTCAGGACCGGCCAATGTTACTGTGCTGCCTCAAAGGAAAGGTAAAGCACAACTTTTCTACTTTCAACGAAAAAAAAATCTCCATGTGACCTTGAAAATAAAAATGTATACAACCTAACTCTCTGTATTCAAGCAGATATACATATAAGGCAAAAATAAATAAAAATAAACCAGCTTCTATCTATAAAACTGAGGAAGAGCTGCAAGTGCTTATCTCATTTACGCTAAAAAAAATAAAAAATAAAAAAACAGTACCAGTGTACTAACAAAAAACTCAAATCACTTAACATGTGTAAATAGTTAACTTTAAATAATTAACATTGTCAAATAAAAAGCATTTGGTAGCATTTTCCTTAACCACAATAAACATGTGCATTCGAGACATACACTCACTATATTGTAGTAAAGCATAAACTTAATCTTTTGAAAAACATCAAAGAACTCTGTAGAAGCCATTTTAATCATGGTCCATTTAATTTAAGAATTTTGATTTCAGTTCATGTTAGTAAAACACAACATTTAGATCATAAGAAATAAGAATATCATTTACAGTAAATATTTCAGAATCAAGTAACAGATTGGCTCCTACTAAGTGATAAAAACTGTTTATGAAAGTTGCCACTACAAATGTTTTTGTGACATATGTATAATGTCCTCATTAGTGTAAAGTAAAATGAGTAAGGTAAAGCAGAGACCTTGTTTTGGCCTTTTTAGGGGATCTGTTGACAAATGATACAACAATCGTTTAATAACCAAATGCTTATTTTGATCAACAATTCTCAGAGCAACCCATCGATAGTCTGGGCAGTGGGAAGTCTGGACTCTCTGGGTATTACTACCAGGGTGTGTGGCGACCACTAGGTGGCACCAAAGTCCACCAATTCAACAACTCCTCTGCCATCAGTCAGTGTCTGAAAGGAAAGGTGGTCCACATGTACGGAGACTCCACCATCAGGCAGTGGTTTGAGTACCTTAATGCTTCACTTCCAGGTAGTTGATTCACAGTGATTTCAGGCAACAGTTTAATTGTATTTATTTCACAGCTTAATCTGCTCCTTTTTTCATACTTTCAGATGCTAAAGAGATAAACCGGAATAATCCGAAGAAATCAGGACCTTTCATGATATGGGACAATGCAAAAAACATCTTGGTGAAGTTCCACTTACACGGTCCTCCTCTTAGTATTTCCGTCCTTATCCCAACCAGTGAGCTGCGTTACATTGCCAATGAAATAGATGATGTAGTTGGTGGCACCAACACAGTTGTAATTTTTGGCATCTGGGCCCACCTCACTCCTTTCCCAATGCAATTCTACATCAGAAGGCTTTACGGCATCCGCAGGGCGGTGATTCGTCTGTTAAACAGGGCTCCAGACACGCTGGTGGTCATCAGGACTCCAAACCTCAGAGGTACAAACCCCAATATATTTGCCTTTAATGACTGGTATGCTATTCAACAGGACAAGGTGGTCAGAGCTGTGTTCAAAGGACTTAATGTTCAGATGGTGGATGCCTGGGAGATGGTTCTGGCCCACCACCTGCCTCACTACATTCACCCACCTCCTCCCATCATTAGGAATATGGTTAACATTATATTGTCCCACATGTGCCCCCAATAGTGCATTTAATAATAATAATAACTTTATTGATATAGTACTTATCTAAACAAGGTTACAAAGTGAGTTTAGGTGCTCTGATGGCAAATGCCCGGTCGCCCTTGGTAACCAGCCTTGATCTAGGATCATCTACTCTTGATGATCTAAGATTTGGCTTGGAGCATAAGGGGTTAAAAGTTCTTTAATGTAAGTGGGGGGCTAGACCGTGTTGTGTTTTAAAAGTTTTTAAACTCATTTTTAAATCAACCCTGTAAGTAACGGGCAGCAAATGGAGGGAGGAAAGGATTGGGGTAATGTTGGACCTGCAGTTTGCATTTGTTAAAATCTGAGCAGCAGCATTCTGCACTTGCTGGAGTCTGGCCATTGAGGACTGACTAAGGCAAGTGAAACGTGAGTTGCAGTAGCCCAAACGTGAAAAGACAAAGGCATGAATAAGCTTCTCTAGATCAGGGAAAGACAGAGTTGATTTAATTTACTAATGTTTCTTAGCTGGTAGTAACAGGATTTAATGAGATTATTGATGTGCGGAATGAAGTTAAGCTGTGAATCAAATGTAATACCTACATTTCTACCTGTAGATTTTATATTGGGTGTTAGAGGACCAAAGAGCAGCTTCAATTTGCTTGCTATATGATCGGGGCCAAAGAAAATGACCTCTGTCTTCCCTGTATTAAGCTGCAGACAATGACAGCTCATCCATTTCTCAATGGTGGCCATGCACTCCACTAAATTGTTTAAGCGGCTGATATTGTCTGACTTGAAGGACAGATATATTTGTGCATTATCAGCATAAAAGTGATAGGAGACCCCCTCAAAGTAATTCATAATATTTCCAAGTGGGAGCATATGAAGGGAAAACAAGACTGAACCAAGAATTGAGTCCTGTGGCAGACCGTACGTCATGCGGGCCGAGGAAGAAACAAATGACCAATTGAGACAGAGAATCCTCTATTTGACAGGTATGACCCAAACCATTTGAGTGCAGTTCCGGTGATGCCTACACACTGATCAAGTCTATTGGCTAGAATTTTATGATCAATAGTATCAAATGCTGTGCTTAGGTCCAACAGCAATATAACCAAACATTCCCCATTATCAGCGCTCATCAGCAAATCGTTTGTAGCCCTAATAAGAGCAGTTTCGGTACTGTGTCGTTTGAGGAACCCTGATTGAAACTTGTCGCAGATGTCATTATTGTTTAAAACAGATGTCAGCTGGCTAAAAAGACACCTTTTCAACCATTTCAAGAACCTTAGATATGAACGAGAGTTTGGAAATGGGTCTATAATTCTCTGGAAGTGATAGATCAGGGTTAGGCTTTTTGAGTAAGGGCTGGATGCTTCCTTGTTTAAAATGATTGGGAACGGTTAATGATGTAAAGTAAGCTGGGGCCAATTGTACCAATAACCTCTTTCAGGAGTGAGGTGGGTAAGATATCAATAGGGCTTGAGGTGGTACGCATGTGAGACACAGTATCGATAAGCTCAGTAAGAGAAATTAATTGAAAATGGTTGAGCAGTTCAGAACAGACAGGATAATTGTAAATATGTGCAGTTGTCGTTGGTACAATATTAGACCTAATATCCATGATTTTTTTGAGGAAAAAATACTTTTCACAGTCAGCATTTGAGGAAGCTGACAGAGCTGGGGGGCAGGGTTAACAAAACCCTTTTCACACTTATGGAAATCTCCTGAAAAACTCCGGAGATTAGGCTCCCCGGAGGGGCCTTAGGCTATATGTGAACGCAAACAGCCAAATTTTTCGCGCAGACTTTACCCGGAGTTTCTCCAGCCAGACCCCAAGTATTTTTTCCACAAAAAGTCTGAGTGAGCTGATGTGAGAACACCGCAGCAAATTCTCCGGAGAATTCACATCAAGCCAATGGGAAGAGAATGACGTTTATATACGGAGACTGCCGCACGGTGCAGCAGTCAAGTGTCTGCACGTGACCACCCAATGCACGTAATTAAAACGCTGCATTATATTTTCTGTTCATCAGTATGTTGTTCTCCTCTCTTATGTGGATGTTGTCATTCCATTGGACTACACATAACATTGATTTAAAGTCAAGTATTCTCATTATAGCGTCGTGTAGTGGACTCTGTTGCTTTGGCCGCTACTTCTAAAGCTATTAACTAAGTCAACTAAGTAACTGTGTTGAGATAGTAAAGATGGAGTTTGGTTTATTTGGCCAAGGGAAAAATAATTAGAAAATTTAGAAGCACTATGTTCATTAAAGATACGTGAACAAATAGTACTGCTGGGGTATTTTGGGGCAGTATCAAACACAGTGCTGAAGTAGACACACAAATGATCTGAGATAAAAACGTTTTCCAAGGCCAAACCTAGAGTAAAATCTAATGTGTGGCCCCTGTTGTGAGTTGGCCCAGATACATGCTGTACTAGGTTACTCAGTGATTTTTAAAAACTCAGTTGAAAGACCATTAGAGGGATCATCAATATGGATATTTAAAGTCACCAGCAATAATAAGTTTGTCAAAGCCAGCAAATTAATTTAAAAAACTATCATTGGACCCGGAGTCCCTATGGCAATATTCAACGTCCTCGACAAACTGATAACAAAGTTTATATGGCAGAACAAGAAACCAAGAGTAAGACTTAAGACACTATTACTACCAAAGAAAAACCTAACCTCAAATACTACTACTGAGCAGCACAACTGAGGACCTTAATAGCATGGATAACTAACGATATTGATACCGGCCTGGTCAGTATAGAACAAAATTCATGTCCAGACATCCCTTTAGGGGGGCTTCCATTTCTAAGCCAAGTGAACTGGAAGAAGTTAAAAATAAAGAATGAATGGATAAAATTCACGATGAAGACTTGGCTGGATATAAAAAAAACAATTTCATCTTTTTACTTCTATAACGAGGACATTTAAAATTGTAGCTATTCCAGGATTTTTACCTATTAAAACTGTTAACGGCTTCAGAAAATGGTCGGACAAAGGGTTAACTACCGTTAATCAGCTCTTTCAAGGGGAATTATTGAAATCTTACGAACACCTCCAGAGAGAATTTGGTTTATTAGGGATGGATGCTTTAAGATTTCTCCAGTTAAGACATTATCTAGAGACGCATTAAGACTGGGAGCTGATATGTAAGGGCGCGGTCACACTGGCCATCAGTACCGTGCCCAAGCACGCTTCAACACTAAAGTCCAGTTCGTTTGACCAGTGGGACCACTCCATATCTTGCTCAGACACGGTACACTTCCTTGGCTTTGGCACACTTTGGAGAGGTGTGCTTCAGCACGGTACACTTCATGCACGAGCACAAGCACGCGGGTACACAACGCTGACAGCCTTCATTATGGAGAAATCCAGAGTTTCATGTCTGTATCTGACTAACATGAAACAATATAAGACACAAAGAAGCTGTCATGTTCTCTGTGTTGTTCATTATTTAATGGCTGTGTAATTATTTATGGCTGTGTCTGATTAAAATGGCTTAAAGGGCCCATATTATGCTTTTTCTGGTTTTATATACTCTTATAGTGTGTTTTCCAAGTGTCCTGTGCATGTTTAGGCACATCTATGTGCAAAATTTCAAAGTCTGCGTGAACGCGGCTTCTCCTCTGTCCTCCTGTTAGCTGTAGCATTAGCTGCATGTCGTGCTCAGTTCTAGTCCCACTCGGAAAAAATTTGCCAGTGTGACGTCTTGTCAGTGTGAGATCACTGATCTAAGCCCATTGGCTCGTTGTGGCAAGCACGTTAACTTCTGTGGCACGCCCACGATATGCCGTAGTGCTAAGGTGCTAATGTTTATGCTCCCCTCGGACAGAGCCAGTGGCTGCATTCCCAATATGGTAAAAGACGTGGGACATTTCCGAGAACCGTGCTGAGCGACTGACCAATTACGGCAGAGCCGACAGGCCGACCAATCAGATCAGACTTGGCACACGTGGGGACTCTGAACGTGGGCACTTCAGAGCCTTAGAGAGAGAGTCAGAAGTGAGCCGGTGCATGGAGCGACAGAACATGAAAACAGACACTTTTTTCGAACTTTAGCTATTGCGAACATACTTTAGTAGGTACATAGATTAAATATATGAACCCCAAAAAGGGCATAATATGGGCTCTTTAAAATGAGCTGCAAAGTCAGTAAAGTAGCTGTCATGCTCTCTGTGTTTTTCTCTGAGGTACAGACACGGACTCGACTGCGCGTCTCTTTTTCTCTCACTCTCTCTCTCTCGCTCTCTCTCTCTCTCTCTGTCTTTCTCTCTCTCTCTCTCTCTCTCTCTCTCTCTCTCGCTCGTCCGCCTGTTTTTAAACTGAGCACGCTTCATAATAACATAAAGCGTGCATGTGTTGAATTACGACGTTATGTACAAGAGGTAATCGTCCTTTTGGGCATGGTTAGTCCTGGCCATGTGGGTATGGCACAGCAGGGGGCCAATCGTCCTTAATGATAATAATAATAATAATACATTTTATTGATAAGCGCCTTTCAGGACACACAAGGACACTGTACAACAATCAACATTTTTAAAAACAGCGATGGATAACAAAAACAGCATACAATAAAGAAATGGAATTGTGGACAGTGTAATTACAGTTAAAAAGTTAGAGTGAGTAGGCGATCTTGAACAGATGGGTTTTGAGTCTGGAGAGAGTCAATATTGCGAATGTCTGGTGGCAGAGAGTTTCAGAGCTGGGGAGCAGAGCAGCTGAAAGTTCTGCCCCCCATGGTGCTGAGGCGGGTAAAGGGAACGGTGAGGTGGATGGAGGAGGAGGATCTGAGGGAGCGGGCTGAAGTGACAATGTGAAGGAGGTCAGACAGATATGGGGGGGGCAAGGTTGTGGATGGCCTTGAAGGTGTACAGGAGGAGTTTAAAAGATGATTCTTTGATTCACCAGGACCCAGTGGAGTTGCTGTAGGATGGGGGTGATGTGATGGTATGAGGGGGTTTTGGTGACAATACGGGCAGCAGAGTTTTGAACCAGTTGGAGTTTATGGAGGGACTTATGAGGGAGGCCGAAGAGGAGAGAATTACAATAATCAATACAGGAGGTGACGAGGCTGTGGACAAGGATGGAGGCAGAATGGGGGGTGAGGGAGGGGCGGAGACGGTTGATGTTTCGTAAGTGGAAGTATGCAGGCCGGGTAATGTTATTGATATGGGATTTGAACGATAGTGTGCTGTCGAGGATGACACCCAGACTCTTAACCTGAGGGGAAGGGGAAACTGAGGAGCTGTCAATAGTGAGGGAGAAACTGCCAACTTTGGATAATATGGATTTAGTGCCGACGAGAAGGATCTCGGTTTTATCACTGTTTAATTTAAGGAAGTTTGAGGAGAACCAGGATTTTATTTCAGATAAACAAGAAGTGAGGGAGGAGGGTGGAAGTGTGGAGTTTGGTTTACTGGAGAGGTAGAGCTGGGTGTCATCCGCAAAGCAGTGGAAAAGTATACTGAATTTACGGAAAATATTGCCAAGGGGGAGAAGGTAGGTGATGAAGAGAAGGGGCCCCAGGACAGAGCCCTGGGGCACACCTGTAGTGACTGGGGAAGGCGCGGATTTGAAGGATTTGAGCTGTATGAACTGAGTGCGGCCTGAGAGATAAGAGTGGAACCAGGTAAGGGAGGTGTGAGTGATGCCAATGGAGGAGAGTCTACTGAGGAGGATGGGGTGTGAGATAGTGTCAAAGGCTGCACTCAGGTCAAGAAGGATGAGGATGGAAAGTAAGCCGGAGTCAGAAGCAATGAGGAGATCGTTGGTGATTTTTAGTAGAGCAGTTTCTGTACTGTGACGGGGGCGGAAACCAGACTGGAAGGGCTCATAGAGGCTATTTTGATTTAAGTGAGACTGTAGCTGGGTGGCGACTATTTTTTCCAGAATTTTGGAGATGAAAGGTAAGTTAGAAATGGGGCAGAGGTTATTGAAGTTGTTGGGATCTGAACCAGGTTTTTTCAATATAGGAGTGGCAGCTGCAGTTTTGAATAATGAAGGAACAATTCCAGTGGTGAGGGAGGCGTGAATGATGGCAGATATGAGGGGAAGCAGAGAGGGGAGGCAAGATCTGACCAAGGTTGTGGGCAGGGGATCAAGCTGACAAGTGGAGGGCTTGGATTTTTGGATGAGGTCAGAGATTTCAGAGGGATCAGGGAATTGAAAACAGGAAAGCGACTGATAGTGCGGGAGAGATTCAGGAGGGGATTTGGACATAAGTGCTGGTGAATATTGTGAATTTTCTCATTAAAAAAATGCATTAGTGATTTGCAGGTGTCAGTAGAGTACAGGTGGGGAGGTAGGGAGTTTGGTGGCTGGAGAATTGTATTTATCAGTGAGAACAGTGTTTTGTTGTTTCCTTCATTGGAGATGATTAAGCCAGAGTAATAGTTGGATTTGGTTTGAGCAACTGAGTCCTTGTAGTGTAGTATATGGGTTTTGTGCATTTCCTTAGGGTATAGAGAGACCTGTTTTTTTGCAGAGTCGCTGAAGTTATCGACCTTTAGTTTTCATTGTCCGGAGATCAGGGGTATACCAGGGGGCAGTTGAGGAGAAGGAGACAGACCGTGTTTTCACTGGGGCAAGAGAGTTGAGAATGTTGTTTAATCCATTATTATAAAGTGCTACTAGTTCATCAGGGTTGGAAAGATAGTCCGGGATCAGAATATTGTCGATATTGGAGTGGAGGGTATCTGTGTTGATGTCCTTTATATTCCGAAATGAGATGAGACGTGGAGACTTGATTGCAGAGAGGCAAAGTGCAACATTGAATGAAAGGAGGAAATGGTCAGTTACATGGTGGAGTTCATCAGCTGTGCAGTTGGAGGGG